GAGGGGGGCGTATGTGGTAGGGATGGAGGCCCCCCCCGTCTTACAGTTGCCAAGTTTGAAAAACACTGGTATACACCATTACTTTGAACTAAGTTGCACTGATTTTAGTGCAACTTACTTCCGAGTAAGCATGACTGGGATCAAGGTGTTAAAAACACAAGAAAGGGGAGCACCTTTTTGAAATTTTCATTCCCCTCTCTTTAAAGTAGAAACAAAAATGATTGAAGTATTGACAACAACGTCATTTCTAACAACAGATGACATTTTGTAGCACCGGTTCAAACTTGCTTAATGAAAAGCTTTCTTCGTTATCAAAGATCTTAGTAGTAGGCTGTCCATCTTGAAGTTCAAAAACAGGACGGCCTTTTTCTTCACACTCAAAAAGTTTGAGATTGTCTTTGAGAAGCTTCAGGTAGTACTTTAAGGCTCCTGAAAATTTTCTGTCTGGTTTAGGATTTTGCAATCACTTTCTATTTTTCTGGAGAGTTTTGGCTACTGGCAGGTTCAAAATGTTGCCTGGGGTGTTGGGGTTTTTTTTGGTTCCTTCCTATTCAAGTTTTTTTTTTAGGCTTGCATGTTGGGGGGCTGTTGGATGGAAAAATTTTGAGCTATCCAGTCTTCCCCAATCTGGTTCTCTCCAGATGTGCTCTGGCTGCAGTGACAGCTGGCAGGGTGGACCTGGTCCCTGTACTCCCAACACATCTAGTGACTGCTTGATAAGGGAAGCTAGCATAAGATGCTTTTTTAAAATAGTTTTTTTTTCTGAAAGTTTTTTTCCAGCTTGCCTTGTTTCTAGATTGCATCCAATTTCTCTGCATTGAACATGTGCAGAAGTGAGAACACTTTTGTAAACATATAGAGATCTTTAACTAGGCCCAGATATGGCCAAAGCACCACAGTTTTGTTCTAGGGACTCATTATTCAGACGTTGGCTATCTTAGGGGGAAAGATCAGTCTAGAGTTCAGAACAGGTGTTCTAACCTGGCCAAAATGTTGGAGAACCTTTCTGGTTTCCCTTTTCAAAAGGTGAGACTTTTGCTGAGGTCAGTGGGAGGCACCAGAAGTGTTTTGGGGAAATCATGGCGAGGAGTCCCCTGAGAGGCTGAAGTTCACCCTGTTCTCAGAGCAGGTCCCCCCACTTTTCACCTCCCTCAAATGGGTGAATCCCGTTGCCCCAGGAATGGCTGATCTCACACTGGGAACACCCTGAAGGACCTGTCCGAGCTAGCTGAGGACAGAGGAGAAGGTGCAGCACCATGGGTTCTATGTCTCTCAAGGGGGTAGCTGCACTGTTCTTTCTTGTCCTGGGGGTCCCTCTGTGGTGCTTTCTCTTCCTTTGGGGGATGAAGAGAGCAGACCCCTCCATGAATCGATCCCACTGCTGGCCCCCATTCCTGTTGCTCAAGAACATTCAGGTGGGTAAGCACCAAATGGGGTGGCGGAGCCTTCCTCCAGACCGTCTCCAGACGGGAGAGGCTGCCTGGGGAGGGGGATGGGACTGAGGTAGGAACAGTCCTAAGAACGCCAGTGGAGGGTGGACAGGCGGGGAAGGGGGGCGGGTCAGAACCCCTCCCCAAGGGCATTTGGTTGGATTTGGTTCCGTGTGTCCCATCTGCAGAGCAGGAGTGTGGGATGAAGGTGCGGTGGGGGCGGTCAAGGGCGCCACTTCAGGTGGCCTGGTCGAGCTCCACAAGGAGTTCCTCCCCCAGCTGGAAGTGCTCTCCACCACGCCCAGAGGCCTCCTCCTCGCCATCGTACAGAGCCAGCTGGGAGAGCGCTGGTCCGTCCACCATGAAGGGCAGCATGTCTCCTAAGAGGCCTGGAGGCAGAGAGCCGGGAGGGCGAGAGAGAAGCCGTCAGGAGCTAGAACCTTCCCCCCCTCCAGATCTGGCCATCGTGAGATGTCTCAAGAGTGCTTCTCCCGGGATTCCTAGAGATGCCCTTGCTGACCATCAGCTAGGGTGCAGTCGGGGCATGAATGGGATACCAGGAAGGGGCCTAGCTGATGGTCAGCAAGGGCATCTCTAGGAATCCCGGGAGATGTAGTCTTGAGACATCTCACAATGGCCAGAGTCAGAGCACCATCACCGCCTTGCACAGAGGGGAGGGCTGGCCATCAGCCTCCCTTTTGAGAGATGGCCTTCCATGCCTGCTTCCTTCGCCCAAACCACATCACTGGAGCAACCTGCTTGTGGGCAAATTCAAGCGGTGGGGAAAGATACTGGCTTCCCCACCCCCCTCATTTGCACACAGACTCTTCAAGGCCCATCATGTGCCACCCATGAATAAGAGGGGTGGTCTTAAACAAGGCAATTGCAAGGCAACCACCACAGACATAGATAGGTACCGATGAGAAATGTGTGCCCATTAGAGGGATGGGCATGTGAATGCCCAGCTGGACACTATGCCCTATGCCAGTGCTTGACTCTCAGGAGCCACCTGGGGAGTGGGAGGGTCCCATCAAAAGAGGCAAGGATCAGCTTTATGCTTTTTATCCAACAAGCAGCTGCCATCAGGGGCCCAATGCATGAGAAATGTTCATTCAAGAGCACCAGGTCGGAGGGACAGGCCAGGGGTTCTATGCTTACCCCACCAAGCCTTGTTCACGAAACAGCTTCAAACCCAGACGCTGGTGGCACTCACCCATCGGTTCTTCCAGAGACAGAAGTTTCTTGCTCAGGGCCACAGTGCCTCCGCAGCCCCGCTCGGACCTGGCGTCCAGACACTCTTCCACACTCAGCAGGAACCCCTGGCAGAACAGAAAGGTTGCCCATCACAAAGGGGTCTCTCGTGGGTCCAGGCAAATGGGCCAGTTGCATCCTGGGAGATTGCCTCCCCAATGGATGGGGCACCTCGGCACCTACCAGGCTAAGCGAGGGCATCAGGAATCCTTCAGCCTCATGGATATGGGCACGCTTGGGGGGGCTGGTCTCCAGGAAGAGCTCCCTTTCTTCTTCCATGCTAACCTCCCGAGTCCTGTTGGAGGAACAGCGGAAAACCTTAGCAAGGAGGCTTGGAAAGGAACACGGGTTCAAACTGGGGTGTCCGCAGGGAGGGATCACAAAAGAGGGTGGTTGTGCCATCCAATCCAAGTCCCGCCCGTTTTTTGCACATATGTTGTTTGTGAAAAAGGGGCACAGTTGGGGCTTCAGCTTGATTTTTTTTACTTCCTTGCGGATGCCTCTGTTTAAACAGAGCAAAAACGGGCATGGATTATTTGGGGAAAAAAAAGGTAAACTAACAGCATGTGCTTTAGATCAATGTTTCTCAACCTCAGCAGCTTGAAGATGTGTGTGCTTCAGCTCCCAGAATTCCCTAGCCACCCATGCTGGCTGGGGAATTCTGGGAGTTGAAGTCCACACATCTTCAAGTTGCCGAGGTTGAGAAACACTGTTTTCGATGATGAGCAGATTAAAGAATTCCTGACAGAAGACTGTCCCCATTCCTCAAAACAACTGTCCTTTTCATTTGAACAAGTAGGTGGATGGCCAGTGCCAGACAAAGCTTCATCCAGGATGCCAACCTGGATTAAATGGTTTGGTGAAAATGGTTTAAAAGAAAAAAAAAGTTCACTGTTGGAAAATTTCAGAGGTCTTTTCCCTCCTTTTGGTAGTACTCATACAGTTATCTTTATAAACTTCAGATGGCAAAGTTTATAATGGAACTTTGCAGCGGACTATGATTATGCTTACAAAAGTCTTCCCTAATCTATCTATCTATCTATCTATCTATCTATCTATCTATCTATCTATCTATCTATCTATCTATCTATCTATTTTATTAAATTTATATGCCGCCCATCTCCCCAGATGTATTTGGACTACGCTGCCCAGAATTTCTAGTCAGCACAGAAGTCATCAGGCTGGGAAAGGTATTCCAACAGTTTGCTTTTAAATGTTACAATGAATAGTATTTTTACCTATTGGCTAGTAATATGGATTTGCCTGGGAACAGAGCACATCCTGGTTTTTCTCTATTTTTGTGTTATCACAGTCACCTGTCCTACACATTCTGATGCAAGAAAAGTCAGCGCCTGACCTCTTCCTACCACCCAAGGGGGACCTCTGGCCATTCAGATTGGTCCCGTCTTGCACGGACTGAATCTTGACCGATGCCACCATTTCCACCATCTGGCCCTCTCCGCAGGGGGAGTTGGCCAGAGGTGGCTGGATGGGGCGGCCTTGGCTCAAACTGCTGTCACTGCCCCAGCGGGGGAGGGTAGCCGGCTCCGGCGGGCGCGGGGACACCCCATGGAAACTTCGAGAACGAGGCCTTGGAGGGGGCGAGGTTGGCCGGGGCCCTGCCCCCGGGTCTCCTCGCTTCTCAGCAAGCCACGGAGGATGGTCGGTGCTGCTGAGTTGGAAATCATCATCCATCGAGATGTAAGGAGCCAGCATCTCCAAGTCCAGGCCTTCGTAATCCTGCAATAGGAAGCAGAGAGTTCTCAGGGGAGGTGGGAGTCAGACAGGAGAAGGGGGACTGCAAGACACCCCAAAACAGTGGCTTGGGGTTCTTTCCCAACTGGGCTGATTATTTTGGTAGCATGGTTTCTGAAAACCGAAAACTCAGTTTCCCACTATTTGGGGAATGGAAACTCACAAGCAACATCGCTTACGTGTTGAAAATGGGACAAAATAAAACTGAGAAAGGAGGAAGGATCTTTTACCTCATCCGTAAGGGTAATAAGTACCATCCCACTCTTTGCATCATCAACCTGCCCTTGGCCACCCCAAGACTGCTTGCTCCGGGCTGCTATTTTGGCATTGGGAGATGAGTGTCAGCCTTACCAGGTAGACCAGGCAGGAAACATGACCGGATGAGCTAATTCTACTTTATCGTAAAGCTACATTAACAGAATCTTGCAAGTCTGAAAGTACAATTCTCTCGCCGACTCCTTTACAGCCCGAGAAGCTAGGGGGGTCCCTTCTGAGCCTCTTTCTCCACCTGTTATGCAGCTGCAGGCTATCCCCCCCCCCTTATCTGACCATTTCCTAGGCAGCATCTATTCACCCCATCTCCCAAGGACTTTCCCACAGACCATTACATTGAGGACCTTGTCAAGACAAAAAAGGCGGCCACACAAGAGGGATCTGTACATCTCCTACTGCCCAAACTCAACTAAGACCATCCAGAGCAGGGTCTGGAATTGGAAGATAGGTGTCTCAAGGAAATCCCACTCCCTTAAAGAGGAAAAGAAGCAGCTAGGTTCTTCTGAGGTGACCCAATTTAATACTAAACCAAACAGATGGACCCGAGAAGCCATTTGGCCTAAACCTCCCCACTGATCCCCTTCTCCGACCCACAAACAATCATACCTGCAGCGCCGTCTCCATGGACTGCCCCTCCTTGTTGGATGCGAAGAGCTTCTGGACGTTCTCCATGTCAAAAAGCAACTCTTCCGGCAGGTCCGCCTTGGGGTAGAGGAGGAGAGAGGAACTAAGCCGGAAGGCTGGAATAACTTATCTCCTTAGTGCCAATTTCTATCCCAGCAAGGCCTTTTCCTTTCTCACCCCCAGGGATCTCACATGGAGGCCATTTTAGGCTGGGGAAACTGACCACCGGGGGATCAACAGAGAGAGGGCATAGCTATGTCCCCCAGCTCTTCCTAACCAGAGACTGTCCCCTATTTATTCATTTAAAGCAAGGAAGGCTCATTTCCACCGGGAGGGGGGGTTGCCTTTTCCTTTTTAATGTTTTATTCAGCCTCAGAGGACCACAGGGGGTGTGGGGGGAATAGGCTTGACTCACTTAAATTTTTACTGGTTTCAAAATAGAGAGAGAGAGAAAAAAATATGTACTGCCAAAAATGGCCAGACTACTGCTGAATTTTGATAGCACAGTCCTAGCTCTGCTCTGGGGGCTGTAAACCTAGGGTGCTGTTCTGATTTCTTTAAATTGAAAAGCTCCTGAATGGTCCCTCCCTTCCTAGTCCCTCTCATCTCATTCATCTGTACTGGTTTTAGACATTGTTTACGATCGTATTTGCTTTTTGGCCATTTATTAAAATTGTTGTAAGCCGCCCAGAGATGTGCCATTGAGATGGACAGCTACCTAAATGAAACTAATAAATAAGTAAACCAGCCATACACCTGTACTGGGCCAGCCAGTGTTCTTCCACCAACAGCCTGCTGCTTAGCTGACCCCCTGGCAGGGCCCACTAAGTCGACCCCCAAGATCACGCCACCCCCAATCCGCAGCTGCCCCTCCAGGTTGCCTTACTGGGCTGGGATTTCCAGAAGCCTTCTTAGTGATTGGAGCCAGCTTGGGCACTGGGGCAGGAGGTCTTGCCCGCACAGTCCCCCCTGCTGGGGTCTGGGCCCCAGGTGGGTCGAAGATGGGCCCCAGCAATTTCTGGAGGTCCGGGCTGCAGAAGCGTTTGGGGTCCAGCTGCAATTCCTCCTCGCTGATGTTGGCTGGACGCAGAAAGGCCAGGATTTTGGGGCCACGCAGCTCTGGGGGCGAAGAGGGGAAGCACAGATGTTTAACAGGAGGGGCTTGGGCTCATTCCTCCCCTCCTCCTCCCACCACCCTCTTTCCGCACCAAAGCTGAGGTTGATAATGGTATCTCCTCCGTTGGGGTCCATCTCATCCAGGGCGCTGTCTGAGTCCAGCCCTTCGAGGCAGGGTGGGGGCAGCCGGCGATGCTCCCCTTGGCGCTCTGTTTGCTCCAGGGACAGCACCAAGCCATTCTCTTCCACCTGACTGTGAAAGGACACGGGGACAAGTTGTGGGCTTTTGAGGTTGGCCAGGTTGGAAAACAGACTCCCCAAATTTGACTGGAACTCTGTTGAGAAAGACTAGAGCAGTGTTTCTCAACCTTATCAAGTAGAAGACATGTGGACTTCAACTCCCAGAAGTCCCCAGCCAGCCATGCTGGCTGGGG